GCATGCTATGCCAGTATGTGTGGATATGCCATACTGTCGTGTTATGCTATGTTATGCGATGGTGTGCAATGATGTGGGATGTTCTGCCAAGGTGTCTATGCCATCGTCGGTTACGCTTTCTTATGTTGCGTGATGCTGAGTTTTGACATACCATACTGTGCTGTGATGCGTTATGTGAGTTGTTAGCATGCTCTTTGTTGTCATGGTATTGGTACGATATGTTCTGTCATGGTGTGGCATGCTCGTGTTATGTTATGGTATCATATGGTGTGACATGCTGTGATCTGACAAGTTTGCCGCTATGCTCTGTTGTTGTGCTATGATATGTATGTTGACGCTGTGCCATGACATGACAAATGTTATGTCAACGTGCATTATGGTATGATGCATATGTTACAGTATGATGTGTTTGGTCGTTTTCTGTTATGTGGACTTCTGCTCTGGAATGTTACGTCATATGCTGGTGTCTTCCATTTTGTCATACTCTTGATATACTATGTGCTGCCATCTTATGTTATAATATTGCTCTGTTCTGTCATGCTCTCTTCTGTCATATCGTGTTCTGTCGTGTCTGTCGAGGGCGCGAGGCAGGTTACCCGGGATTCTCGGGACACTTTGGGGTCTGGCGGCCGCGGTATGCAGACTCTCGGGACAACTTGGGGTCTGGCGGCCGCTGTATGTAGGGTGTGTTCTATCGTGTTCGTCGAGGGCGCGAGGCGGGATACCCGGGATTCTTGGGACGATTTGGGGTCTGGCGGCCGCGGTATGCAGGGTGTGTTCTGTCGTGCTTGTCGAGGGCGCGAGGCCGAACACCCGGAGGCGGGATAAGTGGGATTCTCGGGACAATTTGGGGTCTGGCGGCCGCGGTATGCAGGGTGTGTTCTGTCGTGTTTGTCGAGGGCGCGAGGTGGGATAACCGGGACACTCGGGACAATTTGGGGTCTGGCGGCCGCGGTATGCAGGGTGTGTTCTGTCGTGTTTGTCGAGGGCGCGAGGTGGGATAACCGGGACACTCGGGACAATTTGGGGTCTGGCGGCCGCGGTATGCAGGTTGGAAGTGGTTGGGAGGTCTGTTTTTCAATTCTAACGACCCCAATTTGTCCAGTGGGGAAAAACACATGAAGCCCATACCCCCCCCCACTTTGGAATCCACTGCCCCTCTGTTATGAGGCCGTTGTATAGGAGAGGGAACAGAGGACAGAGTGTTTACACAGTTTTGAGGAATTAGTGAATTCAGTATGGGTCCGGCTTGAAGTGCCTCGAAGAAAGCGCGCGCACCCGAATCGCAGACATATGGCTATATGCGGACCCAGGACACTTTGCTTCCCGTCGTCGTCCTCGCCCTTGCTCCGTTCCCCTTCCTTTCCTCCCTCCCCCGGATGGTGTCGAAAGCGTCCGCGGCTCGGACGGGGGAGAGCCCCTTCCCACCTCCCTCATTATTCCTCGTTCCTCTTTGCCTCCCTGCTCCACCATCCGTCGTCCTACCTCGCCCTGTGAATGGAAC